AACCAACAACCATCAAGTTGGCACCCCGACAAACTACCAACAAGTGGCACCCCGGCAAGAATCAACAAGCAACAGCGATCATCCTGGCAACAACCCACATCAGCTTCAACTCCGACAACCAACAGCGATGATCCTGCCAACACCCAACATCAACTTCAACAACCAACATCAACGACAACAATCAACTGCAACAACCAACAGCGATCGCCCCGGCAACGACCAGCTTCAACCACAGCGATCACCCCGGCAACGACCAGCTTCAACCACAGCGATCACCCCGGCAATGACCAACTTCAACAACAGCGGTCATCCCTGCAACAATCAACAGCGGTGATCCTGGCAACAACCCACATCAGCTTCAACCCCAACAACCAACAAGGATGATCCTGGCAACTACCAACACCAACCTCGACCATCAATGCCTGCACCAGAATTTCTGCACCTCTACCGTTTCCGACCACCTTTATTTCATTTTCTTTTCTAGAATAAATCAGCATATATCATATATATGTCGTCTATATTGTTTCACCGTCAGATTTAACGTCTTCAAAAATGTTAGCGGGCCTCTTGTGACCTCGTTCACCCTTGTGTGATACTTGGGCGCTTCCGGGGCCCGCTACATGTCCAATGTCGATTTAAGAGTGGCTTTAAAAAATTTATTTTATCTTTTTACATTTAAAAAAATTCCAACATTATAAAAGAAATATGTGTGATGTCTTTATTATTCGTAGCGTCTTACTTTAAATGAATGGTATTTTAGCATTCAACTTCTACCTAATTATAATACTATTTTGACTCAGTGAATTCTATTGGTTGTAAAATACTTCAATTCATTTTTCATGTAATATTTTTCTTGCAAACTAAACGCCAAGTGAATAACAGAATTACATCTCGACCAATGTCAATCTTCACCAGTGTGCAAATTTGAGCGGCAAGATATTTTCAAATTATTTTCACTGATTCTAACTGAAAGTGTTAAATTAAAAATTACATTTTTAATATAAGGTACTACTTCTTGATCGCCAAGCTAAGATTGCAATTCAACTCTCATCAAGTTTTTCTAAATTCATCTTACAACGAATTTACCTGAATCTGCAATACTTTCTTATTGAAGAAGACTTCTTTCATCGGAATTAATTATCGTTTCATGAACTGAAACTATTTCCTTGAGTTCACAAAAAACATTTTACCTTACAAACTTTGACCAGTACAATTTTGACAGTCAAAGTCAGGTACATTTTAAACATTGCAATTTTCAATTATAGAAATTGTTAAATACTGTTTAATTCATTTCAAACAGGTTTATTAATTACAACTTCGATATTAATTCCATACACTTTGAACATTCTTCACAGGGACACATTTCACCTACTAAAGAACATTTTCAAGTGACTTAAAAAAAACAAATTTAAACTCTTCAACCAAACATTAATTCACTGAATATTACACATCATTCAACCCTTTGTATATTAATCGTTATATAAATATTTTTATTGTTTGTTGAAAGAAATTTGTTGTTTTATATTTATTATGTTTTGTCAACGTTGGCCCGTAAAGATAATTTAAAATTGTTTGTGAAGATTTTTTTTTGTTCACCAAAACTTTAGCCTTATGATATATCCTTGCCCCAATAATTTAAATAACCATCAACCCCACAACTGTATCTCCTAAAATACCATTTATAAATCGGCCCCTAAATTTCTTTCGAATGAATTTGACTAGTTTTCAACATATATGTATAATGTTCGATTCCAGCATGCATAATTCTGTGGAAAGGAACTTATCTAGTGTGGATCCACCAATATCAGTTCTCGAGATATACGCAGTTGGTAGCACGAATGGGGAATCGTTGGCGAGGTTGATCCGTGATAAGACCTTATCGGGTTCGTTTGGTGGGTCGGTTGACGGGGGTGAAGATGGTAATGAAGGAGGAGGTCTGGAGTGTGATAGGGAAATTTGATTGAGCAGAAATATCTCTATTGGATTCTAGTCGAATAGTAGATCAAACGAAAACGACAATAATCAGACTGCTAGGCGGTGGGAAGGGATAACAAAATAGTGATACTTAAATTGCCGTTGCTAATGGAAGCGATTAGGTGTAAGTTTTTTGTTGGTAAGGTCGGGAGTTGGCAAATTTGTAGGGTCGGTTCACCGAGGTCATAATAGTGACTATGAGGGAGACCTGAAGTGTGATAGTGAAGCCTGATGTGATCCTGATGAGAATAGTTTTCGACTCGTAACACGTACGTGAGATCGACAGAGACAATATGTTCGCGATCGATACGAGCCATCATGGCCCCAAAACAGGTGCACTAACAGGCAGTAGAAGAAGGTGTAATCGGTCGTTTCATCCAATCCAGGATCACACCGATGTCAATCAGGTATCTGCCAGCCTTGAAATGCATATCATTGAGAGGCAGAGCTTTCTGGAGCGGTAAGCAAAAGCTCAGTGTTATTGAAACGAGGAGTAATACGGCCTGGGGACACTGGATGGGAAACGACTCCAGAGGCCTGAGTTTACGACGGAACTCAGCCACAGACTGGAAAGGAGTGATAGTAAGGCGTGACAGTGATTCGTCAAGTGCTACATTCCCAGCATTCCTCCACGACACGGACGCTGGAAACAGGACTCTCTACGGACCACTGTCTTGCCTTCTCCACCCCAAAGGGAGAAGAGCAAGCGCTCGTGCACCTTCAGATGATCCTTAGAGAAAGGAAATACAGATAAACGGTAAAGAATAAGGGATAAGTAGTACAGGGGCATACTTCATCGTTTACCTTAACGGGCAACCGCCTTGGAAGCCAAGTCCAGACTCTCGCTCCTACTTTTGCTTATACATCCGACCAATTTTTCTCCAGCTGAAGGTCCGACCCAAACTACACTCCGAAATGCTGACGGGACTGTCAGTCCAGCTGAATAGGCCCGGAAGAGCAAGGTTGTTCCTAGTGCCCAACCGCAAGCCGGGAGACTTAGTGCGGTTAATTTTGGTCTCGTAACCTTCTCGTACTGCAGCACAACACGAAAATGGATACATCATCGGCGTATGCAGAAACTCTGATTCGAACCCTTCCATGGAGACCAATTCTGCATAGGAACTAACTGCACGCCCTGTCACTCAGCTGGTGCAGGAGGAGCTCCAGCGCCAAAACGTAGAGGCGACAGATGATAAACCTGATTAACCGAGTGTGACAGCGCAAATGCTCCCCAATGCTTTCCATTCATCTATACCCCCGCACTGGGGGGAGCAATACAACAGGGTAATCCATTTGCAAAATTCGAGTTGGAATCCGGCGGCCTACAAGACAGCCTAAACGTACCGTTGGTCAACCCTGTCGAATACTTTGGACTGATTCAAATTGATCAGCTTATTCGTCGTCTTCTACACTCTCTACGATCGTGCGGATCAGATTCAAGTTGTTCTGAATTGTTCGGCTCTTCACAGCACAAGTCTGCTCCGTTGTCAATAGAATCTCTGCAACTACCTGCAAAAGCGCCGTCATGTTCTTTGCTAAAAATTTTAACTTTGTTTTAGCAGATTAATGGCCTGTAATTGTCTAGTTCACCTTCTTTAACAGCATAATCGCACCTCTGCAGATCCGATCGGGGACGGATCCGTGACAGAACTAGTTGTTGAACACCACTATCAAGATCTGTACAGACGTGTGGGACATGCTCAAGTACAGTTCGTATAGCAGACCATCAAGTCCCAGAGATTTACCACTGCCGGCCATATTCAATGCCTCGTGGACTTCACCCTGTGTGATCTCACCCTCACAGCCAGCCGCTTCAGTTGACGAGAGTCGAGAAAATTCAGCTAAATAGCTGTGAAGCAAGAGTGTCACAGCTATTTAGCTAAATTTCCTTGACTTGATAAACGCCTCGAACATGTCTTTGGTCGACAGCAGGCTATGTCAATCAGGGGTTTGGACCTGACAAATGTAACGATCGGAACCTAGACGTATTTCCACCTTGCACAATTTTGCGCCCATGTTAACCTAATCATACATGGTCTTTATATCGTCTATCTCTAGTGGATAACCCCAACTACTATCCGGGCCAAAATACCCTTTATTCTTAGCCTTATCTGTAGCGAGTCGTTGGCTATATTCCGTGGTGAAAGACCTAATGCTATTCTTAAAATACCATCAGTTTTCCCAACAATCGCACCCTCTAATCCCCGCTACACTAATCTATAGCCGGAAATCCTCTTTGACTTCCTAGGAGTACACGCTGACCTTCCAATGTCCAACCATCCTAGGCCTAGTGTATAACGTCATCTGAGCACAAACAACTTTGTGGTCCGAATAATCTAGTCAATGGAACATGGGACAATCGAGCAAGTCTAGATTGACTCTTCTCACTAACATTCTATGCAGGTAGCTGTCTACCTGGGTAGATGGCCAATTAAGAGCTCACGTCCATATCTCACGTCCGTGATGATCGACACTGTATCTATCAACATCGCGGCCACATCCACACCGAGGGACAGAAAAACACAAAGTATGCGAGCCGCCTTACTCCGATCTCTCAAGCGCCTCTTATTCAAGTATGCCAAGTTAATAACCATTTCCGACGTCCGTAGGGAAGATAAGTTTTACTTCCCTATATAAAGTGGGTGGAGCAAAACTGGGGCCCTCCCTGAACAATATTAAAAAAATCTTGTTGAGCTCAGGTGACGCCATCTACACCATCCTAAGCACCGAGAAAGATTCTTTGGCGGCAGAGATTAGTTCCCAGACGTTTAGTCTGCTGCCAGTGTCCCAAATAAGAGTGACCACCCCAGGAACCCTATGAAAGTTCCTAGTGTCCTCTGTTGACTTGCCGTCAACCGTGGTACCTTTAAACAATGGCCTCAAGAGGGCCTTCTGTGAGCAGAAAGTACCCTCTCGGTCGCCAGTCTGTCAATTCTGCAAAGACGTTCTTTTTTGCGATGTGCTGGTGGATGGATATACTGGAGCCCTATAAGAAGAAGAGAGGCGCCTTACTTTACGTTAAGATAATGACTCTTTTTCTTCGTTTTTTGCTGGCGAAGCAAGGGCAGATTTTTTTTCTTGGTAATTTTCACAGCCTTCTCCGCCCTGCATTGCCCAGTCATCTTCTTTTTGACGGTACACTCAACCTCCACTTTGTCCTCTCTCTCCCTTTTAAAAGAGGAAGACCTAGGTTCACTTCACTTCTATCGATTGTTTCAGTTGGGACAGCTACTGCTCCTGCTGCTGTTACTGCGGCTAGCGAGGATGGTGATGCTGCTGCTGCTGCTTTTGAGGTTGCTGCTGTCACTGCTGCTTCTGCAGTTGCTACTGAGGTTGCAGCTGTCACTGCTGCTTCTGCGGTTGCTGCTGAGGGTGCTGCTTCTTCTGCGGCTCCTCCTTTAGCTACAGTGGCCGAAGAAAAAATTTTAGGAGAAATAAACTACATCCAAATTCAAAATTTAATTACGTAATCTCAACATAAACAAACAGTATTTGGAACTAGTATGGAATAATTCCTCCATTTGATAGTTTCAGTGTTTGTATTCGATTTTGAATGGATTTGATCAAGTTATCAACAATCGTCTGAGCCTTATTTTGCCACTCCTTTAGCAATGTTTCTTTAAGGGTTGCCATGATTGACGTGATTTTGGTTGCACTCTTCGGTCAAGGTGCTCCCAAACGTTCTCCATTAGATTTATGTCAGGATTTTGGGCTACACATGACAGCCAATTGATTCCTTGCGATTCCTTCCAGGCCTTTGCTACTTAATCAAGTATCTAGGACAAAAATTGTCGTCAACCAGATCGCTCGAGGGTAAGTGCAATTAAGAATATTCCAACTACAACAAACGTTTCTATGTTACAAGCATTTCTGAGACTGGCAAGCTATTATCAAATGTATATAGCTAATATACAAAATTTGAGAGCTCCGCTGAATAATTTGCTTAAAAAAAGTCATAAAGTGGGACTGGACTGATAAGAGCCAGATGGCGTTTGAAGAAATCAAGAACGATAATTCTACATAAATATGATGACGGTAACATGAGAGCCGTCGCAAATGATTCACGTTCGCTACTACCGACAGAAAAAAACTACAGCTAGATCGAAAAAGTGGCGTTGGCAATAATATTTGTAGTGAAAAAAAAATTTCATAAATTTTATATACGGAAAGAGATTTCGTTTTCAGACAGACCATCGACCTTTGTTATCAACTTATGGTTCGAAAAAAGGAATTCGCGTGCATACAGCAAATAGATTACAACGCTTGGGTTCCATCTTATTAAATTACGATTTCAGTATGGAATCCGTCCAAAAATTTAGGACATGCTGATGGTTTATCAAGATTGATACCAAAAAATACTGAACTGTTTCAGGACACTATTATTAAAGCATTAAAAGTGAAATAGAAATTGAAAATATATTATGCAATGTAGTATGCGAACTACCACTTACCTTGGAAGAAATAAAAGTGAAATCAGAAAAAGACATGTTTATTAAAAAAAATAAAATAAATAAATTAAAAGAAAGAAAACAAAGAACATAATCCAGACTTGAACGCTCACTCGCATTGTGACGGAGTACTGATGTTTGCACAAAGAGTAGTAGTAACTAGTATATTACAAATGCATTTATTAAATGAATTTCTTAGTGGACATCCGGGAATTTCAAGGATGAAATCACTTATTATTATAAGTATGTATACTGGACTAAAATGAATGAAGACATTGAAAAATTAGTAAGAGCCTGCAGGAGTTGTGCTCTGGCAGCAAAATTACCTACGACGAAATTAAAACTTTGGCCAAAGACAGATAACTCCTTGGTCAAGACAGCACTTAGATTTCACAGATGCAAATAAACGGATCATATTATCTTGTGTTAGTGAATAGCTTTACTAAGTGACTTAAAATTTGCAAGTGCAAAAAAGCAACTTCCTCGGTTACAGTGACATTTTACACGAACTGTTTGCAAGATATTGTATTCCAGGTGGTCTCTGATAACGATACACAATTCACTGCTTACGAACTTAAAGATTTTCGTAAAATGTACTCGATTGAACATATTACTACCCCGCCGAATCGCCCAAGGTCAAACGGATAAGCTAAAAGGTTTGTGGGTACTTTTAAGTGAGCTTAGAAAAAAGCAAGTAATGAAAAAAAAATTCGAGAGTATACCCGATAACGCCGAAACCTAATACACCATCAGGCATGTCGCCGGCAAAATTGATGTTCACAACAAAAATTAAATCAATGTTCGACAAGTTGTCAAAGAAATAAGAACAGATAACAAAAAGGAAATAAAAATTTTCAAAATTGGCGAAAAAGTGTTTTCCATAGTATATAAAAATGGAAAAGAAATGTGGGAAGGTGTAATAAGGTCACGAATTGGGAAAATGGTATTGTATTATTGTATGCAAATTAGACAAGTATAAACCGAGGACAACTGTCAAACATAATGGTGGCTATGCCTAGCAGACCCATTTACTTTTCAGAACACGGAGAACTGTACTACGACTGCTGTTGACCCAAAATGAAAGAAATACAAAGTTCACTACATTGTTGAACTCTCCAGAAAGAGGAGGGTGGTGAATACTAAGAAATAAAATAAAATATTTACTAATAAAAAATCTCAAAAGGGTGGATGTTGTGGCGTAAATAACACACCCGATAATACAAATGAACTAGGCTAGACGCCTTAAATAAAGAATTCCAACTGAGTCAATGAAGTCCGTCGCACTCTCTGCCTGCAGAGAGGAACCCAGAGGAGGCTATGCCTACAAGCAGGGTCTCCTCAAAATGACAGACACAACCCCCGAGTTGCTCGAGTCTACGGGCCTTCTGCCACATCCTGCCAAGTTGGGAGGTTAGTAAAGACAAGTCCGTCGTAGTTAGACAGTCTGCTGTCGGGCTCGCGATTGTCAGGCTTCGGACAGAATGCAACTCAATCGAGGCTCTGTCCACGGACGAAAACTCGGCTGAGAAGAATAAACAATGCAAAGTGTCCGGGAGTTGATTAAATTTTGACCATTGGCCCGAGTGTAAGCGCTCGAGTAAACTCGGCCTTGTGTCATACCTCGTCTCAGTGGGGGGACTTGGTAAATACCAGTCCGCTGGAGTCAGTCACGAAAATTCATAACAGACGTCACGCGAGTAGCCTAAGCAAGATATTAGTATTATAACCGCTAGGAGCGAGTTATAACAGTTGTAAACATATAAATAGGAAGAGGAGAGAAGAAAATATTTTCGGAGTCACCATTGTGCGGAGAGTTATGAGCCATTTTTACAACCACGTTGTTTTTCTCCCAACTGCAGTCAGTCATTGACTTCGCTGAAAACGAATCTAATCAGCTTAGCCAAGTGTCATTTTCATCGTATTCTCCCTACCTACCATTGCTCGATAGTCGGGCAGTCGTTACATTTCTTACTGATTCATAAATTGTAAAACGGAGCTGCTGGATCCTTGTGAGGGAGTAATTATTATTTCCATTCAATCTGAAAGCTCAAGTTAGTTTCTACCAAAATGATTCAGGTTAGTATATAATTTTTCCTTTCTTGTTAACACAATATGTCTTCAAATAAATAGCACTGGTATTTAAAAATAATTGAATAATTCTCTTAAAAACAAAAGACATGTCTTTAGGTTTTACTTCTTATTCGTTTTGATGATAAAAGTTATCTGAAATGTTTAATATGTAATTATTTCTTTAAGACTTTAGGCAGATTTCCAAACTTCTTTTTCATTGACGGCATGGCACACAACGTCGGGCATTTTTTTTTAATAGTTTTTAATAGAATCAGATAAGGGGAAAATCTGCCGGTAAAAAATCTAGCTTTTTTTAATTATTCTTTTTCTCACTAAAATCATTTTGTCTACCACTCACGCCTACAAAAAAGAAAATTAACATTTAATTGTTGTCTCTTAAATTTAATTTAATTCTTGTCTCTTAAAATGAAAACAATTCAAATAGCTTTCTTTTTTTGTCGTAGAAAATTTATACCATATATAATATGTATATATATATATACACACACACAAACACACACACTAGTTAAATTTATACTATACATACAACACTTACTTAATTTATACTATATATACATACACCACTTACATTTATAATATATATATACCAGTTAAATTTATACTATATAAATATATACATACACCAGTTAAATGAACATATATATATATACAACAGTTATTTATATATATATATATATATATATATATATATATATATATATACATTAGTTAAATATATATATATACAGACATATATTATATATATATATATATATATATATATATATATGTGTGTGTGTGTGTCTGTGTGTATGTATGTATGTATATAGTGATTTTCTAAGCCCGGCTTAGATGTGGCACAAGGTCGAAAGTATGAGGCACCCAGTGAGGATCGAACTCATTACTCAGTCGTAATTGATCTAGCAAGAGAAGCTTTCTAACAATTACACCACGTCGAGTGGCTATGCATGTATGTATATATGTCTTATTAATCTGTCTCTCTTAGTCTTACATATTAAATTCAATGTCGCATCGAGATGTATGCGATAACGGCTCTCAGATTCTTTTCTTTCATTTTCTATGAATTAACATCATTCCATGGGAAGATGCGGTAGTTATTTTACAGTTTTCAGTCGGCACAAGGCTGGAGGCTCAGTATATATATATATATATATATATATATATATATATATATATATATATATATATATATATATATATATATATATATATATATATTAAATAATAATGCACTCTACAATTGCAGTTACGTTATTCTTGATTATTTGTACTCAAATGTATTGTTTTTGCAGAATTTCGGATGTGCTTGCTTTGTAAACGTGCTGAAATGTTTTCGAGCCGGAAACTTTTCAGCATGACTTCGTACAAGCAGTAGATATATTACATTGACTAATCTTAGTATCGTTTAGCACTAGAACTTCTTCAGTAAGCAAGCCGCTTAGTAGCTTTATTAGGAATAGATTTCATCTGAAATATAATTAGATGCATTAAACTTGGTTATTCGATCTTATAATTAAGGTTTATTTATTTATTCTCTTTTGTTGGTTTTTAGACTAATCAACATATGGCATAAATGCGGCAAGTAATTCAATAGTCCTGTCGTATTTCTTTCCCTTCTTCAACAGATATAAGAAAGCATATGAATGAATAGGAGTCGCTAATTCTATGTCGCTTATCCTTGCTTATTCAAGCGACAATAGTGTAGCGTAAATGTGATTTTAAAAAATAGACTGCATGTGCAGTAACTTGAAATTTTTAAATTATGTATTCATTTTGATCCCGACTTTATAGATGTTTCCCTGTGTGATTTATATATATATATATATATATATATTAAGAAATGGACAAGGTCCGACAATTTATTTATTAAAGACATTTTTTTATTATGTTTAACGTTGTTATTTTATAGATACAAGTATTTAAGCAAATGCTCTGTTTATGATAAACAGTATTAAATAACATTTACCGGCCTGAATGTAAAGAAATTTTCATAGAAAATTTTCGTTCTTTGACAAGTTCGAACCTGCATCCTATACGGAACCGTCATATACGCTGACGTGCCTTATCGCTAGAGCTACAAAAGAAGCGTTCAGTGAGACAAGGTCAATTTACTGCTTATAAACTCAATTTTCCATGAATCTCGTACATTCATAACTGCTCTGGCGTATCGAAATGTAAACAAATGACGTCATATATTAAGAAAATGGACATGGTCCGACAATTTATTTATTAAAGACATTTTTTTTTTTATTATGTTTAACGTTAAACATAAAAAAAAATATTTAAATAAATATCTAAAATAACAATGTTAAAAATATAATAAAAAAAAAAATTTTATTAAATATATATATATATATATATTTGTTCAGAAATTGAACATTTTTGTAGTCTTAAAACAGTATGTTAACCATGCATCGATTTTTACGAAGTACCACCAAAATGAATTCATTTTTTGTTTTGTTTTTTTTGTTTTTTTTTTCAAAATACAAGCTAAAGAATTGCTACTCCATGTTTAAAAAAATGCCTAAAATCACGGAATTATCCGATTAAAACAAAATTATTTATTTTTTAATGAATAAATTGTAATCTTAATGTGTTATTTTATTAGAAAACGTTGTAGAAGTGTGTATTTTTTATTTTTTTTTTTTTTGCAATCGGACCTTCCGCTCTCGTATAACCGGAAGAAGTAATTCCAGTGGGCGAAAGCAGTTAACAGGCAGGAAAGAACCAAAGAGAAGATTGTTGTTTCACTTAGTGTTTCCGTGGGTGATACGGAAGCTTCGATGCCGGCTTTTAACCAGGAAAAGACTTCAGAGGCACATTTCTAAGAACAGTCTCTTTAAGCACTTCCTAAGATTTCAGGTTCCTTACTACCAGTCTGGATGCAACAACTGCCAACCTGGTACCCTCTGTATGAAGAGTCATAATGTCCAGTCAGTTATATCACCACAAATTCATGACAGCCACTCTTATTAAGACCTCTGTTGAAGGAATCAGAAACCCCATCCTGAACAAAAAAAAAAAAAAAACACCTCTACCCCTGTTCAAAAGATTGGGCAGGGGTTCAATCCACTTGATAGGCAGACCTATCGAGTCCTACTGAAAAAATGATAGAATGAATAAATGAATGTGAATAATAAAAAATTGATGGATTATAAGATAGAATATCGACATGGAAGCAGAAATGTTATAGATATATAGTTAACCTAATGTGCGATTCCAGAGTATGTAACCGTAGTTTCCTTACTAATTAACTTCGCATTTGAAAATGTCATGGGTACTTACCTATAACTACAGAATGAATTTTTCCTAACACTATGTATATTACGACTCTCAAGAGAGAGGGTCGAATCGTGTCGAGCCGATAGTAGTTCACTCCAAACCAGACTGACAGTCATACTAACACCTTCCACATCTTGTATTATTATTTCGTGTAATATACCTTCGTTATTTCTACTCTTGTGTTCGTGTTGTTCTTCCTTTGTCCTAGCCTGGACCATAACAGAAAATTTCGTTTGAATCGGATAATTTCCTGATTTGTAGCAAATGTTTTAAAACAGAGGGTAAGCATTTTTTTGCTTAGATTTCGGGAAAAACAACCATATTGGTGGTTGTAGTGACAAAAATACGCAGGTGTAGGCTTCAAGAAAGTTTTATCCAACTTAGAATACAAGGTTTATGTGTAGTGTCCTTTTATAGTCCCAGTAAACAGAAATAGCTCTCTCAAAGAGGAGAGTAACAAAACAAGGAGAGACTACTCTTGATTATTCATAACATTCGTATCTAAAATATTCCTTTAAACTCTTTACATACGAAAATTAATTTTTTGCTTAATAGTGATTAGATTTAAGTTACTAACTTTCAAGTAAAACAAAAATTTAACTTCGGAAGCATTTAACTTTAATTTAAATGTCTTTTCAGGGTTTTCCTTTTAGAAAGTTCAGGGCGATACCTAATTTTACCGATCTTTTTTTTAGCTTTGAATGAGGATTTTTCTTCTTTTTTATTGTTTAAGATAAAAAAAAATTATGCCTTACACCAAGTAGAAACGTTTTTTCAGACCAAAACAGGTATGGCTACTATGGTATAGAAATATTATAGATATTTTTTTTTCCTTCAGGATGCCGAATCCGTCTCTGTAGAACCGGAAAAGCAAAATGTCGAAAGTGTCAGCCCTCTTGTCAAACATGAGACGAATATAGCCGAGAGTAAATTGGAAATAATATACAAAATAAGTGATGTTCCTCCTTGGTACATGTGTATTCTGTTGGGTCTTCAGGTAAGTCTATTTCTCTTTTGCACCTTTTTCCTTTCTCCCTTTCTCAATGATTTTAGGCTCTAAATAAAGTCAAGTAAAAACCGGATTTTGGTGAATAAATTAATCACTATTAAGCGTCAATGAAATTGGAACCCTTTTTAGTTTTAAAAGAGTTAATTCGATAACATTCATTAATACGTACTGATTGTCCACCTCGCCATGTAAGTTGATAGGCAGCTTGCCCTTTATGTTTATGGGTCATGTGCGAGGAACTGATTATAGGAAATTTTTGTGAGTCAAGGCATTTCCTAGAAATATCTATATACTCTGAAAAGTATACCTTCCTAAGTACACTAGGGAAGGTATGTTCAGTTTTGAAGTCAGAACGAGAGAAATGCCAAATGTTTATCATATCTGACTGTAATATCAAAGAGAAATTTTTGGTGATAATTAGATGGAGAATTAATTATCAATTAACCTTTTCTCCAATGTCGTCTTTTCGAAAAAAAAGAAAAAAAAAAGATGCCTTAATGCTTTATGATTCGACTTTTTCAAAATATTGTTAGCATTTGTTTATATTAATGTGTTTACAGAAAATAACAGCTGATATTACTTACATATGTTTCCTTGAGACGTACATATCACATCAAGACCGAAAGTTATATGAAGTCGCTATAGTAAGACAGATCGTATCTCTGCGTTATGGGATTCAATTTGCACACTTGTATACCATCTTTATTCATTCACTTATCCTTTTTTTCTTTCTTTTTTCTATAATTTTTGGATCCAACTGATAATGTGTGCCTTGTATCAGAGGAAATAAATGTCTATGTTTACTTACGAATATATCTCTCAAATTCACCATAATTTCATATAGTGAGTTATCTAAATACTCTCAAGAGTACATGCACTGAGGAAAGTACTTTCAATTTTGTAGTCAGAATGAGAGAAAAGCCAGGTTTTTCATGTCCGACTGTAATGCCAAAGAGAATTGTTTTGTAAATAATTAGATGGAGAATTAATTACTAATTAACCTTTTCTCTAATGTCGTCTTTTCGAGAAAAAAACAAGATAACCTAAGATATAATGTTTCGACTTTTTCACAAAATTTTTAGCACTTGTTTATATTAATGAGTTTATGCAACTTTCAATAAACGCTAATTTTTAAATTCAATTCTTTTAAACACTAACTTCGTTATTTTGTTTGCTTTTTATTCTTATTTATTTATTAGTAGCAGAACAAAAATATTTCAACGATATTATTGTAGCAAACAACTGTGGTTATTTACAGAAAATAGCAACTGGTATTGCTTACAGATGTTTCCTTGAGACGTACATATCACATGAGGAACGGAAGGGTTAAGTCAGTTCTCTTTAGCTCATGATCTAGAAAGCGAAAATTCAGTAATCAAACAGAAAGCAAAAAAAACGGAAGCGTACAGAGATCAGGGTATATCCTTTATCTCCAATTGTATTGGCTCAGGCTTACCTTATTCTGGAGAAAACGATTGAATAATTCAAGCAAATGTTACTAATGTGTATTGAAATGTTCTCGCTTCGGTCGATCCACATCCCAATATTTGTATCCTAATGTTTAGATCAAGGAGTCAATGGATTCAATTAAGTCCATCCTTCAAAACCGGGCTAGATATATACCTACATACTGAATAAGCTTAGTCTAGCAGTTGCTCATGTAAAAAGAGGGACGTTTATATAGGGTTTGTCTTCGGAGTAAAGCCTGCTTGCATTGAAAAATCAACATTCGAAATATACGCAAGCACGAACAAAAATCACTGGCCTAGTATAAGATACACAGTCAGAGAAGAGTTTATTTTACAAGTAAACAATATAAATATCCATTGATCCCCGGTTGTTGTTTTTTTATAGCTCTTTTATCAATTGTTTATTTATTGGACGATGCTGACTTTGAGAGCAAGCTATATTCATAGTCCAAACAACGAGGGATTGATTTTACTATTAATGGTCTGAAAGACAAGGATGCTACCGATAAAAACTCTAACATCATTAGTTTATTTTAGGGAGAGAAAAAAAGGGAAAAAACTTATTTATTTTCTTAATGCTTTTATGCTTAATTACATAAGATTAAATACATTTCGGTAATATTGTTTAAAATTTCTGATGAAAAGATTTTCGAAAGATTCGGAAAACTCTGAAACACTCGGCAAATTTCGGCAAGTTCTGTAAAAAGATATATTCACACTGAAATATTACACAAGTTTTATTGTTTACTTTCTATATACCGCTTATAAATTCTACATTCAGTCACCTAACATACTGGCGTTTCGTATTAATATTTACAGCACTACTTGACAGCGTTCGGTAGCAACCTGATGCTTCCAATTGTTGTGGCAAACTTAGCTTTTTGTATGAATGATGACAGCGTCGGAATTGGTGAACTAATTTCTACTACTTTCTTTGTATCTGGACTGAGCACGCTGCTTCAAACTACATTTGGATGTCGGTAAGTAAGACGGTAAAACCCATGTTTCCGGGTAAACAGTATCAAAATTAAAGAATCTGAAAGGAAGAAAGATAGATCAGAAAAATGACTTCGATCCCAATGATTTGTAAATTTGCAGATTTCCTTATATTAATTTATAACATAATCTTTTAATATAATAGGGAGAGACATATACATGTGGGCACAGACATTGTCCAGTATCTATGACTAATGTCTCAAGACTTCAAGATACGCTGATTTTTTCCCTTTTTGGTGCAATGGGGAGGTGCTGTTCCAAGGTCGAAATCCTCCTGAACTAGGCTGAGATCATCTTGTTGCGACGTCCTGTTTGAATATGAGAACACGCCTGGATGCTATATTGTGATTTCAGGTTTTTATACTTTCCTCCTTGGCAGACCTTCTCATGAAGACTACGTCTTTATCGATGTCGCCATTGAAACTACTTCTTATTATATTACCATATCCTTCTATCCGAATATTATTTGTTTACTATTTAGTTGTAGGTAGTGTCATGGTCTTTAAACAATGCCAGTTCTTTTTCAGTTCATGCTATTTAAAAGAAAAAGCTTGTAAAAACAGAGCGTTGCGATAAAACATAACATTGTCGACTAGAAAAAAAAATAGGCACTGAAAAGGCTTTATCTATGATCCTTTTATTTCATTTCTTACTAACCGAATTACCCGCGCCTTGTTGCGTGTCACACATTTTTTGTAAGACAATGATGATTGATTTTAAACCATTGTTATAATTTGTGAAGAAAAATTATGCATTTCAATATTACTCAATGATCTTGCCAATATGACCTCCATCTTTTGGCTTTTTCCTTTTATATTTTGGATAGGAGTCATTCCCTTGTTCAAATTTAAATTAAATCAAAGGGAAAAAAAATTCAGTGAGTGGTTTGTGCCCCCCTCCCCTGGGACCCTCTTTGATCAAAATGAAATATACTTGTGATCCAAGTACACTGGGTAATGTAGTTTCAGAATATATATGGTTATGGCTATCTCTAAAACCCTATAACTATGTTCGATAACTAACAAACAGAGGCTACAATTTGTTTTCATTTTATGACTCGTCACTAGTTAATGATAATCATATATCATTGCCAATAAAATATTACCTCAATTTACATAATCCTTTGTAATACGGTAAAGAAACTGATCAGTTTCATTGAGTTTATTTATTTTAATCTCTCATTTGGCTAAATATTGATTTCTATAGAAAACATAAAATGTTACAGTAATTTCTAAGAAGTCTGTTCTATTTTGTTGCTCTTCTGTGCTAAAAGGTCACCTTATTCGACCGAGATATAAAGATAATCTTATCAAGTACTAAACATCAAATTATACACGGCAATTTAGCATAAGTTTTTTTTTAATTTTTTACTGTTTTTTTTTTTTTTTTTTTTTCTAGACTTCCAATCATGCAAGGTGCAAGCTTTGGTTTTCTCACACCTGTTATAACGTTATTTTCATTGCAAAAATGGCAATGTCCATATGCAATAGGTAAGTATCAATTAATGTTCTCTGTCGTCTGCGTGAAAAAGACATAAAAACCTCTTCTGAAAAACAATGATTTTTTTTTATTACAGCCTTCAGCTACACTGGAAATAGAGATAACGGATAAAATAAATGATTGCACCGTGCATATCTCAGGATGAGGTAATGCTTAGCGAGCAACTCTGGCCGACCATTACTACTGAGTAGAGAGTTCGATTTCGCTGGATACCCTATATTTATAGCCTTATGCCAAAGCAAAGCTTCATAGCTTACAACGTAAACTTGCTTAATACTTGTTCTCTTTACGGATATATCAGCATGTATTTTTATAATAATATGATTTATTTCGAAAGAAGTTGTCATATTGACGTCAGCACCCATTCAATAAAATAAAGACAGAAAGATAATGGCGCCGAAGCTAAATCGGTTGCCAAATACGCATTGGACAGTCTCATTTGCTAAAATCAATTAAGTGCTGGAAAAGATATTTTATTTTCCTAATAACTGTATTAATAGCTCCTGCAATATATTTAAACAGCCATATGGTATATGAGTAAATGATGATGCTGATTTTCCGACTAATCAAAAATATTCTTTTTTTGAAAGAAGTTTAAGTATCATGTCGTCTAAGAACGTAGGCAATTACGGTTCTCTTTTCTTTAATGTCTGTGAATTGCTATGATTTTTCTTGGGAAAGATAATGTAGTAGTTTTCTTTCTCCACTGTTTTGAATTCAGAGTTGTCTTTCTTGTAGACCAGTCACCAATCAAGGCTAGAATGTTCTGTCATTTAAAATGTTGAGAAAGAAGTAGTTTGACTTTTTCCTAGGTCATCAATGTGAAGTGGATACAAAATGTCTCGACCAGAATTTGAAAGCGGTTCGCCGATTTCATTTTTTGTGCTTCTAACCATTAGACTATTCGGAACCTTAATTATTCGAATAAAAATACTTGTCATGTTTTGTATCTCTGATATAAGACTCAGGGAAAAGTGGATTTATACTTTTCTTAAGGCCTCAAAAACAAACTCAGAATTAGATTTCGGTTCATCGATCCTGTTTTGATAATGGTGTTTCTATGCTGTCTATCATCTTACAGAAAAGGAAATCTTTTTTATTGATTTTTGTTACATTAACACTGATAGAAATATTCAACAGAGACACACAACGGAAACTAACATAAATAATACTTTTTTTCTGGCATGTGTGCTGTTTCTCTTGTGGGCGTGGAATATCATGGGTCTCCACAACTTCCCAACGCATCTGGTTATAATGTTTTTTTTTCTTTACAACCCTCTCAATCCCCTTTCTCCTATCCATTTACACAAGCTCATCATGTATGTTACGCGATGTTTCCTTTTGCCAATCTTGCCATCAATATATATATATATCATATTCTCCAAGCCCTCTTTCCTCAGCATTCACAGCCATGTAGAAGGATTTATATCACATGGCAGTCCCGCACTGTTTTTCAGCGAAAGGTGGGCAAAAGCGATGAGTTTGGTTCAGTCTTGGTTTGCGTTTTTAGTCGTCTTTTGACACATATGGGCAGTTTTCTGTCGGACCCCTCCCCTGGTTAAAGTGAGGGGCCCGACAGGAAACCTAGGTAATGTGAGTAATTGTTGTTCTCGACCTGCTCCCGGCATTCTCTTTTGTTATGATCCCAACCTCCCCAGATTTGTTCTTTGACTGGGCCAGTTTATTATTTTCTAGGAGATCTAAAGACTTTTTTCCGCAGAAAAGAATTACGTGAAAATTTTACAAGCTAATATTTCCATTATTTACATTATTCGGACTATTGTCCTCATCTTTGTCGCCATATTTATCACAACGTTTCGGCCATTGTACGCTCCGGCCTTCTTCAGGTGGCTGGAATTTCGAACTGAACCCTTTATTTCACTCACTGGGGTAGACTGTTCTAGTTCCACGTGCCATGTTTGATGGATGTCAGTTATCTCCTGCTAATTTCCCTCTGAAAGTTCTCCACCGGGTATTGAACTCACAGTGTTTGGGTCCTGTCACTGGATCTAACTAACGCGTTTATCCACTGTGCCATGTGTCCTTAAGGACATCTGGCTATGTTTTTATGGGTATTACAAACCTAATGTCTTCAGCAACCATTTTTACCAGTGCTCATATTGCAATTTTGCTGTTATCATTCATGTTTTTACCAGAGCTCATATTGCAACTTTGTTGTTATCATTGCTTTTTTCTGGTACTCCTTATTACTGGTTCCCATATTGTATTTATTTCTATGCTTGGTCGGCTCAGGAGATTTTTGTGGCCTAGCATATGTGCTGATTCCTTAAGTTTACGAACACCATTGGAAAATTCGTAAAACATTAGGTTTATAATACCCATAAAAACGTACCCAGATGTCCTCAAGGACACATGGCACAGTGGATAAAGTCGTTGGTTAGATCCAGTGACAGGACCCAAAGAGTGTGAGTTCAATACCCGGTTAAGGCAGTGGAGAACTTTCAGAGGGAAATTAGCAGGAGATAACTGATAACTGACATCCATCAAACATGGCACGTGGAACTAGAACAGTCTACAGAAATAAAGGGTTCAGTTCGAAATTCCCACCACCTGAAGAAGACCGGAGCGTATAACGGCCGAAACGTTGTGATAAATATGGCGACAAAGATGAGGACAATAGAATAATGTAAATAATGTACATAATACCTCATCTCAGAAATATAGACAGACTCAGCTAATATTTCGCAAAACAAAAAAGAAACAAAATAAAGTTTTGAAAATTAATAATTTTAATCAAATGATAGAGCTCGGTTCCATAACTTAGATTAGTCATAGATTAGAGCCAAAATGACGAGTTAAATCTTCGGTTTAGTTATGCTATCTCTGCTACTAGGAAAGGTTGGTGTCACTGTGCCATGCTAGACAATTTTTCTCTCAAGAATCTCCATATTTATTAGGCTACCATTCGTCCATGCTATGAATATTACTACCATATATGGTCTTAATATATATTTAGAGTTTCTTGATAAAATACAAAGAAGAATCTGCAATGTTATTTGTCCTGACCTGGCATCTCGGTTTCAATCACTTTCCCACCGCCGTAATGTAAGTTCGCTATGCCTTTTCTCGAAATACTTTCATTGTAATTGTTCTGATAAACTTTCCTCTATAGTACCTAGAATTTATGAATTTAAGCGCAATACTAGATTGGCAACAAGGTCTCATCCTTTTACATTTAAAGTGGCTGGCTCTAACCATAGGTTCTATGCTAATAGTTTCTTTTCTGGTACTTCTCATTTATAGTACTCTCTTCCGGTTTCTTGATTTACAACCAACTTTGATCTTCAAAAATTTAGAAGCAATGTCAATCGTTATCTGTCTTCTTGATTCCTCTTTTTTATTGTTCTCGCTCCTTAATAATGTTTTTTCTTTCTTTTTTTATTCTTTCATACTCAGTAACCACTTGTCTTAGTGGCTTTATTGCCTTTCTTAGGCTGAAATGATTACAAAAACAATCTTCTTCCAACAAAAATTGGTAGACATGTCCCTCTAGTTCTATGGGTGTTACTTAAGTGTTGAAATTTTTCCCGTTTGGAAACATAGGCGAAAAACGATCCCTTCTCATTTGTTTTTGTTTTGTTTTTTTACGGTGAAAACAGAGGTATATTAAGTTGCAAGTCGCAAACGTCTGTTGTAATTTCTACTGCTGCCGAAGCTGCTACGAAATCATTTTGTTGTCGAATATTTTTACTAAGAAAGTAGCTTCCAAATGAACGAAAAACAGTATTGAATCGGTGATGGAAAAAGATGGTAAAACGTCAATGTTCCCTGAAATAGGTCGCTCTATATATTTTATATTAGTTTGCAAATCCGATAAATTTTACGTATATTCTTTTTATTGAAATTAATAATTTAATGTCCTAAAAGCATCACGAAACTACACGTATTTAATAATTTATGAGTGCATAGCTGTGAAAATAGACATGCAAAAATACTAAAACAGAAATCAGTAATGTAATAAGGGGGGGAAATAACTTTATCTTTACGTAGTAATTACGACCTCAAACTATTCGGATATTAAAAATATATTTATTGTTAGTTCCGGTTAAAAAATAATTTGTGTGACAATTATCTTGAATCAGCGATATCGATAATTTTTTATATTTACACTCGACTTAATTTTACTTTGATAAAACGAACAACACTAAAGAAAAATATTTTAATGCACTTTTCTCTTTTTAATAAAGAAAAAAAAGAAAAACAAATACGAGAAAAAAATTCTATTTCTACTTAAAGAGACATTTTCTTCTGACACGAAAACAAATATTACACCTCCAGCACTAACTCCTAAAGGCACTTGATGTAGACCTCTATGTCGAGGCTGAAGCCCTGTGGGAAGAAGAATGGAGGCATAATGTCGCCATCACTAATGATCACACCATGATGTTGATTGTATATATCATCCAACTCTTTTCGAATCCTCTGCATTGTCTTCAGATTGACACTCAAGCACTATGAAATGATCGTATTGGAGCTTCCGGTGGGAATGCCAAGCAGTACAGCATGCCGTTTCCAAATTTATGACGGAGTGAATTGCGTCATGGTGATCTTTTTATCACAGACGGTGCACAACTGACCCTACTATACTGTGCAGTCGACAAAATCAAAAACGAACAACGAAATTACAAATGCAAAATTAACAATATACAACAATGGCGACAATTTACTCATCGCACTCTGTATGTATATATATATATATATATATATATATATATATATATATATATATATATATATATATATATATAAACCCAGTGAGCCAGAAAAAAACTTACACAGGTTTCACCTAAGCGGATCGTCAGGAAAGCTATCTAAAGAGGCAAAAGGAAACAGCATATTTATAGGCGATAATCAAAATCATACCGTAGTATGATTTTGATTATCGCCTATAATTATTGCCCGATTAAGTGAAACCTGGGTAGGATTGTCTGGCTCACTAGGTTTATCTAGGTCTGCTCTACGGTTGTAT